ACTTTATTATAGCTGCAGCCACTACTGTAGTAAACACAACTGAAAAGTGCATCTGTTCCAACCCACATCCCGAGAGCTGCCTCCTGGTCTTTTACAAGGGAATGTCAAGTGCCACTGCTGGCATCCATCCAGTCCAAAAGACACTTCATCCTAAGAAGCCTGGGATGTGCTAGTCACTCATAGGGCTTAAACGGTTAACACTGGACAAGGGCACCACCTCTCCTCCACCACTCACTATCTTTATTTCCTTCTGTCCTAAATACACTGACCTGATTATTTTCATCAGAATTCAGTTCCTGCTAGTGCCTCTTCTATTCAGGCCTTGGTTACCTTTCTCCTTTCCGCCCACACACGTTGCTGTAAGGTGTTAATACATTGGCTAGCAGAGCAACAGCTTTTCAGGAATCTATGATCCAATACAGCCCTGGCTGGGAAAAAGTGCAGTTGCAAACTTTCAGTGGTGTATGTGCCTTCCCTGACATCTGGTGGTGGGGTGAATAAATAGATGGTTGAAAAATTTGTCTAGTTCACTGGTCACAAATTGATCTATGCATGAATCATAAATATTACACGATTCAGCAGAAAGACCCTTTCCTCAGTAGATTATTCTCCTATTCTTGTAATGTCCCCTATGTTACCAGACATTTGCTTCTTTCTCCCTTAACTCACATAAATATATATCCGGCGTAACTCTGTTGAAGCCAGTGGAGTTACCCCTATGTAAAACTGATATAGGTCAGATCAGAATCAGACCCATTTTCTCTGTGCTCTGCTTTTCGCCTCCTAAAGTTCAATTAGAACTGGTCAAAATATTGAAAAGAAAAGGTTATTTTTGTCAAAATAGTCTTTTTTCAAAAATATTTATTTTTATGAAAAACTTTTTTTTGCAATTTTTTTTTCCTTTTTTCAATGTTTTTTTCAAAATGTTACAAAAATATTATTGAAAACATTATCAGAATGGTTATCTACATTTTTGATTATTCAAAACTAAAGTTTTGGTGAATGAAAACAAAAAAATATATAACCATTTTGACCTTTTTTATTTTAAAAAATTGTGGGGGAAAAATAAAAACAAAAAATGGGTCCATTTCAAACACTTTGAAATGAAAACAACTTCAAAATTGTTATGCAAATAGGTTGTTGGAGGGTTTTTTTACCAGCTCCAGTTCAGGTACAATATGAAAAACTGATACTAGTTTCTTATTCTCTTTATCAGCTCTTCTTCAACTGAGACTTTAAAAAAATAGTATGTGATGAATGATTGATGATACTTTTGTTACCTTGTTTAATACAGAGGAGTCCAAACCAAAATTCCAGATCTGAAGATCCCTTAAACTTTGGAAAAGTTCTGCCCTGGATCAAATCTTGGTGGCTCGAGCTCATCTCTACTCATTACATTTGTTCTGTTTTGAGCTGCAAATCTTTCACCTCTTATCCCAGGAGCAAGAAGACTTTATTATTTGTTTACTTACACTTTATTACTTAAATTTCATGTGGAGCTGTGTATGGATAAAAAAAAATTGTATTGCTGACCAAACTAGAAAAAAAAATTGCATCAAGTTTTTGTGATTGGGAAATGCAGATTTTGCCTGCTATCATAAAGAGAAGAGAGAGAGAAACGGACCAAACAGCAAACATTTTATCTGCTCTGAAGTGTAATTCACAGAGGACAGCCCCATTCCAGAAGGCCTCTGGCTAGAAAAGTGCTTCCACAATGTTCTTATTCATTTGCTAAGGAATAGGGAGGCATAGAAAGGGACAGAGTGGGACTCTGGTTCCTGAGAAACATGGCCTAGATCATCAGCTGGTGTCGGCATAGCTTCACTGAAGGATCTGGACCTTTATAAATTTTTATATGTATATATACACAAACACACACATTTAATCTGCCCTTGAATAGGTCAAACTTGGTCCCCTGGCAGATATATTTATTCAAAATCGTGGTGTTATTTTGACTATGAAATGCCCTTGACAAGCTTATAACCTCGGTTTAAGAATTCTTATTGCATCTTTGGAACATTTCCAGGCTTCGTCTTATCAGGAAAAGAAGATGTTAGTTCACGCCTTGCTGTCATCCAGGCTTGACTGTTGTACTTGACTGCTGATCAGTATCTCTTCCCTCCTATTTTTTAGTTTTTCTTCTGCTCCTGCAAAATTCTGCAGCTAAATTCAGAAATCAGACTAAACTTGCTTATGTTACTGGTCCTGAACCTTCAGCTCTGACCGTTACACAGCTGGATAATTACTTCTCCTATGCTCACAAAATGTACAGTCCACTTTGCACCACACTGGCAGAGCTGGTAATTGCCATAAGCCCCACAGGCTATACTAGAGGACGATATAATTTGGAGTCCTGAAATGTGCGGCTACTAGCAATTACAAGCACCATATACATAGTAGTGCAGAGCCCTCATTAGTCCATACACCAAAAGAGGTAGGGGGCCTTATTTTTGCTCATCTCCTCAAAGAAAGAAAAGGGGAACTAGGGTATGTTGCAAACCTTCTTGCATCTCAGGCTGTATCCAAATGCCAGCTGCCACTTGCCCACTTCCCTTAAGTCAGTTGCCAAGTTGTGATGTGAAATGAGATAGTTAAATTACCCAGTGAATCTGCTGCTCCTGTTTCCTGTCTGCTAGGTTCTGCATGAGGCACCAGCTGTAGGCACCTAGGTATTGTGATAGGGAAGCCACCAGAGGGCAGTTTTGCATTTCCTATTAAGGCCCTGCCTTTCAATGTGTGTGATCAGAAACTCAGCAATGCTGCTTTCTTGCCAGCATGAGAGAATAATAATTAATACCAAATGGCATTTATGTAGCACCTTCCTTCCCTCTGAGGAGCATATAAAAACATCCTTGTGATAGAAGAATTCAGGTGATCTATTAGAGCAAGCGCTGAATAAGACTAGAGTCGGTCAGTTCAAAATGGCAAAAGGGTTCACCTACATGATCACAAGTGGCAGGAAGATACTGATAAGAAAGAAAACCTGGGGGTAATAGAGATTAGAAAGTAACCATAAGTCAAATGTCTGGCAGCTACTATTAAAAATAATGTCTGGCAGCAACTATAAAAAAAAACACTATTAAAAAAAATTATCCTCAGATAATGTACAATAATTGATGATACATTTTATTTCTATAAAGCAATTCATCTGATGATCTTAATACACTTTACAAACATTAGCTATTTAATCCCTACAGCACCTGGTGAGATAGTGAAGGGATAGCCTATTTGGTAAAATATTCAGGGCAAAATTTTCAAAACTGTGTGCCTGCAGTTAGACTGCTAAAGCCATCTTTATTTAAGCACATAAATAAATGGCTGGATATTCAGAAGTGCTGAGCATGTGCAGATATCAGAGTTAATGTAGTAATAGTAATAATGTAGTTCATAACAAAGATTTGTAATTTCAGTCTTTCAGCACAGGCAACATAAAGATTGTCCGTGTCTGTGTTCACAGGCACCAACTTTCCATTGTGACCGGGGGGCCTCAACCTTGGCTCTGCCCCAGGCCCCGCCCCCACTCCACCCCTTCCATCAAGGCCACACCCTGCCTCTTCCCGCCCTGTTCCGCCCCCTCCCCTGAGTGTGCCACGTCCTCTCTCTCCTCCCCACAAGCCTCCTGCACTCACTGCGAAACAGCTGATTGCAGCGGGCAGGAGGTGCAGGGAGGGAGAAGTAAGCGCTGATTGGCAGGGCCCACCAGCAGGCAGGAGGCACGTGGGGGGGGGGGGAAGGTGCTAAGAGGGGGGCTGCTGGTGGGTGCTCAATACCCACCATTTTTTCCCCATGGGTGCTCAACTTGACCAAATGTCTACAATTTGATGTCTAGATGCTTCCCTGTTGTTTTTCTCTACTAAAGATGTTCTCGGGATGTATAATTTTGTCTTTGGCAGTGCTAGGCCAGAAAAGCAAATCCTTGCTCTCACATTTGTAGTTTTCTACTGTCATGTGTCCCAAGTTTATGTTTGTTCATTTCCAATCTCATTGATCATGGAACCACTAGTCTTTCATCATTACAGATCAGACCATCTGTAATTGTTAGTACCTCATGCACTTCTTGGTCTGAATGAATATGAAAGGATGAATCTGTATATTTTGTACTAAGTATTAAATGAAGTCTTCAGTGTCCAGTTTAATCTGTCCACTTAATATGCCAATACCCAGATCTTGCATCCTGGATACTGACAAGCTGGGCATTAGCTAATTTACTTGTTTCATCCTCAGATGTAGGCATCTGGTAATGCTCGTGCTTGATTGTCTAGATCCACCAGATTTGCACAAGGCAGTCACAGCTCTCTGTGTGTGATTTTTCCACTACTACTATGGAGTTTACTTGCTCTGTAGGCTCAGATACCTTGACAATTACCATAAAAGTTTCCAGTCTCAATCTCTTTAGCCACTAGAACTGGAATTGGCATCAATGTTGGAATTCCTGGATGAAGTTCTCTGGTTATCATAAAGGTCCCTTTTTGCTTTAAAGTCTATGAAGATCCATGATTAGCAATAATCTTATTTCACTATCTTTCACTTTTGCAAATCTCCCTCTCCATGCATCCTCATGTTTTGCTATGTTAACTCTAATTCTGTTCTAAACTCCTCAGCAGGGATGAGCAATTTCAGTTTTTCTGTTAATTCTGGGATAAGTTCAGGGTAAAGCCCCATGCACACCTATAGCAAAGCGTCATGCAAGCTTGTGATGCAGTGTATAAGAAAGATGACAATTTGTATAATTGTTGCTACCACTGTTATACAATTGCAACAAACCTTCTACAAAGTATGTCATTTAAGGTGTCAATAGAAAAGTTATGATTTGCTAAGTATGATTATCCTGTTTATATGCATGTATCATCTCTGTATCTGAAGTTATGAATATTGGCTATGTGCAGGATTAAACCTGTGTTGTATTCCTGGGTGACACCCCCAGACAGAATTTACATTAGGGCGAGACAGCTACGTGTTGATGGCCTATCAAGGACACTCCACTCTCACAATGGGCCATTGAAGAAACTCATCCCATCCAGATAGCTCTTCCTGAGGATGCTTCAGACAGCAAAGAGCCAATGGTCACCCCGTGTGATTCAGCAAAAGGTTTAAGGGCATGTGATGTGCTCATGTGACCCTGACTCCATCTTAGGCCAGTAACTTTCCACATACAGGGGCTGTGGGCTTTGTTTGGGATAGTAAATGCACATAGCAGAGGATATAAAAAGACCTCTGAGACACCGCCATGTTGTTTCTTTCTTGCTCTAATTCTCTGGACTGTAGATTTACAACTAAAAGGAGCATCTTGAACTACGGACTGAGGACCTTTCAATCTTTTGGAAGTTACCAGAGAGATTTTACAAGCCAGCAGTCTATTCCATCACTAGAACAAACTTGATATAAGGACTTTGCAATTGTTTGTATATAATCTATTAACCATGTAACTCTCTTATTTTATTAATAAATCTTTAGTTAGTTTACTAAGGATTGGCTGACAGTGTGATAGTTGGGTAAGATCTGAGATGTATATTGATCTGGGGTAAGCGTCTGATCCTTTGGGATCAGTAAGAACCTCACATGTGAAATGGGTTTTCAGTAACCTCTCACTATATTAGACTTGGTTGTCTGGATGGGAGCCAAGGACTGGAATCCTTAAAGGGGACTGTGTTTGGCTTCTGGTTAACCAGTGTGGAATTGCAGAAGCTCTTTTGTTACTGGCTTGGGGAATCTAATTATAGAGTAAACCCCGAGTTTTGGGGATTGTCTGCCCTATTTCTTGCAGTCTGCCCTGATTGTGGCCTTCTCAGTGTGGCCCATCACAGGCACCCCATCACATAAGCCCACTAATGATCAAATAGTAAGAATGGAAAAGCCAACAGTAAATGAAATGTCAGTGCTGGGGGGACAACAGTGGGTGGTAGAGGGGCTCAACCGGAAATGAAGGGCATGAGGAAGAATGTCAGGTGTGTTAGGTATAAGGAAGCAAGGTGTATTGAGGGGAATCTGTGAGCGAGGAGTAGTTGTGAGATAGACAATGAGTGAGAATGGGTGGGTGGATGCAGGAGGGCCAGGATGACTGAGGGTGTAGAGGCAGACTGGAGAGGAAAGACTGAGGGTAATGGAGACAAAGAGGGAGAGCCTGAAAGGGGGTTAGACGAAAATGAGGGAGAATTTGTGGATGGGGGGAAGAGAGAGTCAGATGTTGATGGAGGTGGGAAAGTTGATGGAAAGATAGGATGAAATACTACTGGAAAGGAAGGAGAGAGTAACATATGAAAGAATATGGAGGAAGGGTGATGAACTGGGGTAGAGAAAGATGAATTAGCCCAAAAGAGAAACCCTGGAAAGGTTAATTAAAAACGGATACCACAGAGATGTGGAGGAATTAAAAAAAGAATGAAGGAATAGAAAAGGGAAAGAAGGAATAATAAAAGTTAGGGAAATAATACTAAATATAGTCATTATAATGTAATAAAGTTTAATGCCAGAATGTTACAATACACATAAATCAAAGAATATTTTCTGAGTTGCCCATAAAGTTGCACATTAATTCTCTTCAGTTTAGATGTCTTACATTACATACTGCATAATGGGGTGGGAGCGGGGGTGCGCACATGTGCATGTCCTGTACACACAGTTATGGTAAATGTAAGGGAGTGATTGTACAATATTTGGAGCCACTAAAAATATATAACACAAACCACTACCACCTACTAATCCAACCCTCAGAGGAGGAGGCTTATTGAGGGGATGGGTAAAGCTAGTGATGATAGAAAGAGGCGGAGGACAAGATGCCAGATTTAGGTGGGCTGAAGTGCCCATGAATGGGGGCCCAGCTGGGACAAGGTGTTTGTTTTGGAATTAGAAATAACAGTTTTGTTCTAAGAAGGACATTACAGACATTCGAAAAATCTCGAGAACTATCAACCATGGAACTGATTTTAAAAGTTGTAGCCAAGATTTTAAATACAGGCGTCTAACTATAGGCTCCTAAAATCTCTATTTAGGCACATAAATAAGTAGTCAGATTTTCAGAAGTCCTGAGCACCTATGAGTTCAGTCTTCTGAGTCACTGATTCAAGGCCTTATTCTCTGTAGTGTTCAGGATTATCGTAAAGACACAGAATTGATACTCACAAAAGTTCTAAATTCCAAGTCAGATGTACTCTACTAGTTTGAGTCTGGTTAGACTCAGGTATATCTGTATTCTAATCTGAGCTCTGAGACCGTTGCCCTCTGTGCAAGACATGGCCTAGTTTCTTGTGCAAGTCACTTAACTTCTGTTTTGTGTCCCCATCTGTGAAATGGCGCTAACATTTAATTACCCACCTCACAGAGGATTAATTAGCTAATATTTATAAAGTGCTTACATGTTAAAAGCCCTATATGGCTGTTTTTCCTGTATAAGCAATGTTTAGGTACCTAGAGAACAGAAGAGGAGCTTTTCATATAATTAAAATTAAATGAACAAATAGCTATAGAATTGCTATGCATTAGATCAGTATTATATCCATTTGTTATTATTGTGTATACTATAGTGTGAGCTCACCCACTGATTTAAATCCGGATTGTGTTCCATTGTGCTAAGCAGTGTACAAACTCAGAGCACTAATGATCTAATTTGTCATTACTAAATTCTGTGTTATTTCTACAGCACCCAAAGTATGCAGCACAAAATAAATAAACGGTGACTGCAAATGACATTTGGCTGTCAATTAAAGCCAAATGAAAGTATGGAATGAAGTCCACATTCCAGGCTGTGTTGTGCCTGCTTTGCGTGGGTCCATCCAGGAAAAAAAAAAAACCCAGCCATAAACCAGGTGTACTTGATAAAAGAAGGATTTATCTGAATAGGGGCATCCTATATGGTAACCTCCATATTGGTCCCCAATTTAAGGGAAAGGAAGTATGGCTAAGGAGTTTTGGCTTCTGGTGATCCCTGGCTGTTGAAATGACCCTGGGGCACCATTGCCAGACAGTTAAAGTAAAGAAGCCCTCAGCCTGCTCTGCATTATGCCAGAAACTAGACTAGCACCAAAATGGCCCCAGAATGAGAACTGAACTCAAGGTGGCTGAATGCTACCTTTGCTTTCCATATACCTGGACTGTGCTGAGCACAGCTCGGACTTAATCCAGGATCTGACCCTGAATCTGTAGGTGTAAAATTGAAACTGAACTGAAGTATAGCTCTCCCTAGCACAACCAGAAGCAGTTTCCAAAAGGGAAAAGAAAGGCAAAAGTGAAGAAATGAAATACAGTAGAAGCTCAATTAAGTGCCCTTTAAAGGAGCTCATCCCTCAGAATTTGCAGTGACCTTACTCGTGACAGTGTAGTTTTTCCAACAAGCAAAATGATAAAAGAGTAATTCCATCATGTGGCATCATATTGACACCCACAGGGGTTATCAGCACGGTTAGAACTTTTAGATCCACAGCACAGATCTTCTGCTTGAGCTAACAGAGTAAAGGACAGTAGTAATAGGTTGTCATCCTCTATGTGGGCCAGTCAATAGAGGCAGACAAGGCACTAATTTTGAGAGTGGGTTTCACAGCACAATCCAGGCATATGGAGCACAAAAGTAGCATTAATTCCAGGTTCTGAGAGGAATACTCTAGTGGTTACAGACCCTTCTGTTTCTGGCTCCTCCAGCCTGCCCTTATCCTAGCCCCAATCGTAACCCCACCCATTGGCTTCTTGTCTCAATCCCCATTCCCCACTCATCTCATTTCCTTGTCCCAGTCTACGCACACACAGACCCCCCAGACCCTATGGACTCCTTGCTCCAATCCCAGTCTTCCCCTCAGATCTTCATCCCAGTCCCAAAATCTACAACACCAACACACTCTAGTCGCAGTCCCAGCCCTAGGGCGAGGTGGGGAGACTGAGCACCCCAGCTCTCCAACAGTTCAACTGGGAGGAGCGCGGAGAGGCAGAAGGGAAAGAACCTGGGTGCTCAGCCTTCAACAGTCTAATCCCTTCCCATGAAAAATGTGGTGTTTTCAACTCAATCCATGATGACAGTTTTGTTTTGTTTTTCAAAAAAGCAACGTTTTTTTGGCAGGAAGGGATTGCTCATTTTCCAGCCAGCTCTAGTGCCAGACTCTTTACTGAGCATCTGCAAACTGAGGTTTTTCAGAAATGTATAACTTGGCCAAATTTGGGTGGATTTTCACTGGGATGGCAAAAGACACAGCCCCGACACGAGGGTGACCCCTTTAGCCAAATTTCAAGTCCTGCTCCAAAGCATAGAAGCTCTAGAGCGTCTCATTAAAAAGCTTGTAAGAAGTTTTTTCTTAGGCAAAACAATGTATTTTCTGCTAACTTGATTCTAAGAAATGGCAGATACATTTTTGCATAAATTCAGGCTAAGACAGATACCTGGCCTGGAAAATTTCAGCCCAAATGGTTTAAGTTTGGCAAAGTTATAAACATCTGAAACTAGAATTTTATAATAAAAAGTGTCAGGCAACCTTAACTATAGGCATCACTACCTGCGCTGCCTATAGTAAGTAAGATCCATTTAAATTTGGGAGGAGAGAATATTTTGATAACTTCTTGGATTTAACAGAAGCTGAATAAGCAAGATAGTAACCTACACTTATTTCCATGTTAATTTAAATAAGCCCATGTCATTAGAGAGATTCACCTGTGCATTTAAAAAGCCAGAAGCATAACTTCCATCCATTCCCAGGCACTGTGAATAATAATAATAGCTCTTATATAGTTGAACAAGACTTTTATAGAATAATAGAAGATTAGGATTGGAAGAGACCTCAGGAGATCATCTAGTCCAACCCCCTGCTCAAAGCAGGGCCAACACCAGCTAAATCATCCCAGCCAGGGCTTTGTCAAGCCAGGCCTTAAAAACCTTTAAGGATGGAGATTCCACCACCTCCCTAGGTAACCCATTCCAGTGCTTCACCACCCTCCTAGTGAAATGAGAGACTAGATTGCATTACATGGTTAAATCTAGGCATGCTGGAAATTTCCTTAGTGCTAACTCTGAAGACACTGTGGGCCAAATCCTCAGCTTGTGTAGAAGCTGAGAATATGACTCTGGTGCAACTGAGGATCTGGCCCTACAACTAGCAGAAATACCTGGCTGACATTACTGATCTGTTTGGGCTCAGCACCAACAGGAACATCATATAAAGTTAAAAGGTAGCCTGTAATTTGACCCATCCTAACACTTGGAACAGAGACTTGGAACACAAGAAAATAAATCAGTATGCTCATCACCACCATGGAAATGAAGATGTTGACAAGGTCAAATGGTTGGACACTCTGTGATAGGAAACAAAATGAGGTTGTGAGAGGCCTATTGTTGGTTGCCCCAACTGAAGACAAGTTGAGAGAGGCTAGGCTATTTTGGAATGGACATGTCCGGTGGAGACCTGAGACATATATTGATAGGTTGGCCTTTGTAATGATTGTGGATGGAAGACGAGCAAGGGGGAGGCCAACAATTCGGTACATGGGCTGGAT